AAGGAGGGAAGCATTCGAATCCAATAAAAGAACAACGGAATAGATAACGTATACCTAACTAAAAACAAAACTGGGTGAAACCTAAAATAATGATTAATACCACCACCATACGCAACTTATCTGAAAATAATTACAATCCTTGATAACACAAAATGTAATCAAAGAAATATTAATGTATTTTTTAATGTGAAGAAACATAACAAATATTGTGCAAGAAGAAGACAATAAATAGATTGAAAGCAAACACATCGGGAGAAAAGTCGAAATTGCTTTAAGAATACAAAATATACAGGGTGAGATAAAAAAAAAATACTGCAACAAAGTCAAACGTCATAATTTCTACATTTTTTTTTACTTTTATTGAATGAAAGCAAAAATTTCGGAAATAGCATCAAATTTTAGAATAAGTTTAGATTTGTTCGAATTGGTCACCTTTGGCACGAATTAAGGCATTCAAACGGCCAATGAAACCACACGCTGCCCGAATGTTGCTCTGCGGCATTTTGGCCCATTCCCGGCGAAGCGCTCGCCTTAGGTGATCGACACTTTGGTATTTTTTAGTGCCAACCTTGCTTTCCAAAATACTCCAGACACAATAGTCCAACGAATTGGTATCCGGATATTTTGGTGGCCATTGCGCGCTGGAAATGAAGCGAGGAACTATTTTTCGTCCCCTGCGACGGGGGTTTCGATCAAGTCGTTTCTTTACTTTTCGAACCATTTCTGCTGATGTTGCTGTTTTCTTCCGTCCACTTCCGAGCGATGGTACGAGACACAAAAGATTTATTGACATTAGAATGCTGGAGTGCTCTAACGATAGCCACTTGTGGTTTTCAGCCAAATATGAAGATACTATCACGCTTGAATTCCACAAGAATGACTTTTTTTCTGGAAAATTCTCACCAAAATGCTTTTGTACGCTAGTAAATAATATAATGAACGGTCGCTGGAATGATTTTAACAGCTGTCGGACGAGTGGCTTAGAAATGACCACAGTCTGAATTTGGTTGCACTATTTTCATCTCACCCTGTATATGGTAAACTTAACTTTTACTTCAGGATTCTAAAAACAAGTTATTTTTAAAAAGAAGAAAGGCATTCCGTTCGTTCATGTTAACAGATTTCGGCGGGCGCCTGTTGCAGTCGTGCGATTATTACATATTCCAATTAATGTTATTTATTTTTTATTTCTTCCGCCTTCTTGGATTAGTATAGGTATTACAATCTTAGCAATTACAAATAATTCAATGGTATAATTATATTATCTTTAAATATTTTATATTTAATAGTTTCATAGTTCAATAGTTTTGCTATTTTCTGTTAGAATTCTCAAATTATTATATAACGCTGTGACATCATGACCGAAAATTTCATAGTGTCTAAATTAAGAGAAACAATAGACAACTATATCTTCTCACTACTATTATAAATGTTTTTTCTTTCAATTACTTTAACTTGAATGAACCTAAAATGAACATGAGATCACAGGTTCAATGAACATACATACATTTAAATATGTATGTATATAAGACATAAAACAAAACTAGAATAAATGCAAACCATTTCATTAATGACATAAATCCTCAGTATTGTGCACAGAAAAAATACGATTTTAATTAAAAAACTCCGAATTAATTTTATGCATTGAAATCTCAGAACATCGGTTGGATAAGTCTATCTTTCCGATAACAAGTTCTGAATTCCGATCCCTATCGCAAACAGGATAATGAGCTTCAAATGATTTCCGAACTTGTAATTTATGGGTTTCTAATGGAATTTCAACAATAAAAATTTAGTTTCTAAATTACAATTGAAAATGGTGTAGTTAACATACAATTCTTATGCACACATCTACAAGACCAAATGAAATGTGACACATAAACAAAATGCAACATAATCAGTTGCAGTTGCCCCATAACAAAAAAATACACTTTCCCATTACTTAACATTGAAAAGTAATTAAAAATAAATTACCATAACACAGACATTCTCCTATAATAAACAAAGAGCCATGAACATAAACTTCTTGTGTTGAAGTATGACAAAAACCAGTCACCATCCCCCACACAAGCACTAGAGAAATACAAATTCTATAAATATGCCGCTCAATTTCGGCTAAGAACAAAAACAGCGGAAATGCACGAATAACGTTACTACTTCCGGAAAATCCAAAACAGTAGCATAAACATTGCATTGAAAGGTAGAAAAGGTTTCTATGGGCGAAACTTCCCCCAAAATATCCGCACAGACATAATTTCCTTTTAAACATATTAAATTGCTATCTCACCTTTATCATAGTTTTTCAGTTTGATTTAGCTACACGAATTTGAAAAATGGACATAGTGATGTCATCGAGTATCACGTGCAAATGTAAAAGAATTCATATATTTATGAACGAACGGTGGATGTAGAACGGATTAACGTTATTTTGTGACTATTGGAAAACGAAAGGAAAGTCTGAATGACAAAGTTTTTAGGTTAATTAACTGATTTCTCCCATATATCGTCATTTGTACATGGCTTATTCAAATTAATTATGTCATGTTTGTGTGCGAAAGCGAAAAGAAGATGATCAATATAAAAACGAGACTAACCTTTTTAGATTTATATTAGTGTAGAATATATCGGTAACTATTATTTAATTAAGATTTATATCAAAAATGAAAATAACTAGAACATTAGATCTCCTGGTAATCACTTAGTATCACCAAGAAAAGCCACGCTGTTAGCATCCATTTTTATTAGAAAAAATTTGCGTTAATATGTACCAACTTTATTCTTCTAGGACTTAAAAATATATTTTTTATACATACACTGGAAATTTCGAAATAATGTCGGAATTTATTTTTGCTTCTAATTATGACAATTAACGACAAATACATCAACTTTACCCGCATTGAGTGCTTATTAATATAGGGGTTAACCAGCATTTTTAAACCACACCTCTAACGGTAATGATGACTCAGAAGCAAACGATATTAATAAAGAGAAATATGCCGGTTTTCCTATTGACAACCACACAAAAAGGCCAGCAATAAATCAGAAATTTTACACAAGATTTGGTTGGCAAAGAAGTGGAAAACACACTCAGCACATGCACAAAGAATAGAAATAACCGGCATAAATCTACATATGTATGTATGGACATACCTGCCTACATATGTCAATGTTTTGAAGGGACCGGTTTCGCGCGGTTTCTTAAACAAAATTACCAATATGGGTACATAAATGGGCCATAAAGGAAAGTAAATTTGGTAAAACATACCTACATAACACCCAACTGCAACAACCGGCCACACCTTAGGTACGAACGTTATTTCATATTTATTTTCTTTTCAATAGAAAAGAAAGAATATTTTGCTTTTGGCTTTATTGGTATTCTGCGGCTACGTCACACAGTGTCGTTCGTTCATTCGTACACCGCCCAGTCCACTTCTGAGTTGTCCCCATAAACAGCCAACTACGAACTCACTGCCACGATTTTAAATTAAATATCCATGCATTTTCTGCATTCGGAAGCACAAGTACAAGTATTTATTCGTATCATTTGATGTAATGTTATCTCTACTCTGCTTTAGAAACAGAAATATTGCAAAACTTGTTAGTTAAGCCAGTTAAAAGTGTTGGCACAAAGTCTTGGTTGGTCGCCACCACCCATTTCTCTTTTCCTCCAAAGAGGTAAAATGTAACAGTTAATCATGTATTTTTTATCGTTTATCTATGGATTGTCACGTTTGTTTAGAATTACTTTAAGCTTCTTCTTCTACTTCTCGGTGTTCTCATTGCCCACCAATACAAAAAAAACGGCATATCACATTAACTACTTAAGTATCGATAACAACAAACAAATATGGAACAAAAGAAGTTGGTATAGTAAATGGGCGTGATAAAATTGTCCAGGTTTAATACATTCACGCTACTCCAACACTTTTCGATTGAATATGTGTATAGACGGAAAGCAAAAAAAGCTAATAACAAAGATAACTGAAATCGAAGAATTTCAAAGCCATACACAAAATGAAGTCATTCACATGTCGAATATAATTTTTTGTGTCAAGAATCTATCCACAACTACATTTTCGTTTATTCTTTAAGTAGAAGGGTGTTGTACAACGCCAACTGATTATGTACTCTACAGCAGTACTTTACAAATGACACAATACGCAAATGTTATTAAATGTAGGGCTCATTTAAGTAATTGGTTTCTATAAATAATTGTGAAATTGAATCTGTTTTTGTAGGCCCTGAGCTTCATGTAACATGATTCTCTACAATTTTGTAACAATCTGTAAGAAAATCTGAATGCTATCTTTTTCCACAAAGACCCAGTAAATTATTTTAAATCAAAACTTATTTAAATACACTATGGTATGTATTTAGAAAGGTTTCTTGACAATTTTCATACAGAGAACTTACAAAATTTTACTCGAAAACTTTTATGGCAGGTATTTTAGTAACTTTTTTATATACATAAAATTGATAATAATTAAAATATTTAGATAAGAACCAATACAAATTGTATTACTCTCTGAAGAAAATTTTAGTCATTCTAGTTAAAACGGACAAACAGACAGACATTTTCAATTGAAATTATAGGCATCATCATTTCTGTTGTTTACATTTTCAAGAAGTATTATATTGTACAATGTTCTGGCGAATGCTTATTTAAAGAATAAAGGACGAGATTTCCAAAATATAAATGAAAAGTGTATTACATGTTGATTTGACTTTTATGGTGGGACTAAATAATCATAAGCCAATAATTCCACCTCATTAAAAACATTAATTTGTGCAAACTGACTTTCCAAATATTACATGTATCTAGTACATAATTTCATTTTGTGAAAAAACCATTAGCTAAAATTCAAAGAATTTCCCAGGTAGCATAAATCAGTAATTTAAAGACGTTCAAATCTGTGCTTTGTCTGTAATAGTTTGTCATGATACAAAGCAATGACCATGATTTTAGTTTACAACCAAAAACACAACTTAAAACTCACCTTTCTATACGAAAATAATTCCTTTTGTAAGCGTTGCCTTTCAGCTGTAGGCTGTTGTCCTTTGCCACGTATAAATTTCAACATGTTGTCAAGTCCAGTTTAAATGTATGGAAAGAAATAATGGTCAGGCGAATGGCAAATCTGCAATAGACAAAACAGAAAGATTTAAAGATGTAGGGAAATGTTAGCTATTAAAAAAAAGAGATAGAAATCTTATAGGTGTATATGTATGTGGGCATTTCCTAACATTAAGGCAAATAAACTGGAATATTTACTCTGGAGGCGTTAGTAATGCAGGAGACATATTTTTTTGCTTCAGAAAACCTACATTTATTTTTCAGTTTATTTGGAAAATCTCTTTTTCTTTACCAAAATTGTTATCGTTTGCTTCGTGCAAAGAAAAAAATAACCAAACCATTGGAAAACTTCTTGTTCGATGCCACTTTGCGCTCGCTGACTTCTCATGTAACATTTACAAGCTAAAATTACAAAACTTGTTTTAAAGCAAACTGGTTGTTGGGTGCTGTGTTGTGGCGAAAACAAAATTTTTGTTGTCTTTAGTTGGTTGCTTTTGTCATGCATTTTATTTTAAATATACCCCCGATGAATTTATATATACTTATTTTAATATAAACAAATGCCGAGAAGTTAAATTAAATTTTAAAATTTTTGAATATGACTGTAAAATAATTACAATAACATCGTCGTTAAATGGAATTTTTCAGACTGAGGTATTCTTTTCATTGAACTAAAACAATTTTTTCTTTAATTTTTTTTGGATCACAATTAGAACTAATATTGTTACTTAAAATAATTTTTTTCTACTTAGGAGCATAATTACATTAGTATTACTATTTATTGGCCTTGGAGGCATTAGTATTATGGTATGAAGGAGGCTTTAGTATTATGGATATCTCGAAATTAAAAAAAAATAGACATACCTATATAAAATTTTTTTATTTGTATTTGCGTAATTTCATTTATTTTAAGAATATATTTAAGGAATCCACTAATACTCCAAGTTATTTTTAATATTTATCGTCCATGCATGTGTGTGTTACATATACCTATACCAAAAAATAAAGCTAGATAAGTTATGTACGTTTTTTTTTTTTAATTGTGGAGTCCTTGTTAGTCCTTGATATTTTTGGTCTATCAAATATCTTATTACCATGGGTGTCATTGGTGTATTAGACTATTAAATATCGATGTTCATAGAACCAGCGCCGAAACTGTGACCATGAAACAGAATTCTCTACTTTCCAAGTAAAAATAATGACATATTAGATAAGAAATATAGTCTAATTTTTACATTTAAAATTATGTTGGAAACAATAAAAATAAATGCTATATATTTTATGTTCTCAATACCTATTATTATTAGCGAAAACGGAGCCTTCTTCGCGCCCTTATAAGCATTTTCAATCCATTACTTTTTATTTGTTCGTTTTCTTTTATTAAGAATTACTGCCCAATTCAGATTTTATGGCCTATTGAAAATATTTTTTTGGTAATTATTTTCATCTCAGTAAAGCTAAGCATTTGTACAGAAATTATTGTCGAATGTGTGACTAATTTTAGTGACCTTCAGAGCAGACATTGAAAAAAACGATGTTCTCCTCTTGTATTCTACATCTCCCTCTCTCTCTTCCTCAACAAGGATCAAAGAGCAATCGTGTCTGCATTGTAGAAGAGAATATCTGCAATCAAACAAATACCTAACAGGTATCATTGTCGTAAACAATGGCCACAAAAACACCGGCACATACCCTACACACGCACATACTCAAAACAAAATAGTTGCCTGGCCCTATTAACAAAATAACTATATGCCAATGAAATGTGAACAACTTACCCAACTTCAAATAAATATTCAAATGCTTAAAACGTTTTTGTTGTTATTGGAAATGGCATAGAGTAAAAGGTGACTAAAAATAAAAAGAAAAGGGAAAACCACACCCGAACACTTTATTAATCAAACAATTCATGGCTGCTACGACAGAATAAATATGTATGTATGTATTGTCTTTAGACATTTCTTCTAGATATTAGTGATTGCATTTTCCCATTGTTTTTCTTTAAACGACAAACTCTCAAGCCTTTGACGCTTGACTGTGCATTGATATTTTTTGACTTTCAGTCACATTTTTATATTTTCCATACATTTAAATTTTATATTTTTTAATAGAATTCAATAGAAAAAATGAGATATTTTTAACATTTTCTTGTATTTTCTCATTTGCTTAAATAATCACAAATCATCTTGATTCGGTCGATGACGTTTCTTGTTTTTTTTTGTTGTTTCAATGATGACGCGCGTGAGTCACTGTGTTGTGGGAAGTTAAGCGAATATTTTCTGAAATTGTTTGCAAATCTTGGTATGATACCGCAATATATATGTTAAATTTATTGAATAAAATACATAGGGACGCCTTGTCTGCAGATACAACACGTAATTTGTATTCTTTTAATTTCATGCATTTTACACTCAAAACAGGTTTGTGTTAGCGTCGTTTGCTTGCCGTCACACTTGAATACACACCACTAGTCAGTAGTAGCTATAATTGTTATTCTTTAAATAATTTACCATAAATATTCTAAAACGTATTTTTGTTTATCGTCGAAGACACACAACAAATGTTCTATTTTGAAAACTAGCAACAAAAATGCAACTTCGAACGGCAAATTTATCCGCGTAAGCACACGTCCGAGTTCCTCGTAATTTAAATCAAAACAAGTCGAGTTCTCAGCTAGGGATACGTAAGTCGACTTTCGATTAATCGACATTTGGTGTTGAAAAATCGAATTCGATTTTTGCGTATGGTGAAAATTGCAAAGTATACTTTTGTAATCGATTGTCGATGTAGAGACCATAGTTCATCGGTCGGCTTCTATATTTTTACGGGTGGCTGTCTTGGAATAAAAAAATATTTAACATTAATTCGTGTATGCAGTTATCCTTATCCAGATATTATTAAAGAATCTACTAGTTATGAATTTTTTTCGATATCATAAAGGGAATATCGGTTATCATAGTAAAACGTTTCACATTCTTACAGTAAAGGGCTAAGTAAATAAGAAGCTTGAAGTCATGGCTAGGCATATGTTGTGACATTTCACAAAGGGATTACAGAGCCGCACTAAAATCCAGCCGTCGTTTTCCATTATAATTTGACATTAATATGCCTAGCCCTTACTTCAAGCTTCGTATGTACTTAGCCCTTTAGTCCATGGTAGAAGAATATAGGTAGACGCGTCGACACAGCTGCTGGGACAATTAACTGTCAAACCAATTTTGGAATTGAAAATGTTGAATGAAAATTTATTTAAATTTGTAAAAATTGTTGAAAAACCCAAATTATAATAGCCTCCGAATGACGTAGTATAAGAAAACATATAAAAATCTACTTATATTTGAAAAAATATTTAATTTGTTTTTGACACATCAATGCTCCCAAGCGTTGATGCATCTATCTGTATTCTTCTGCCATGAGTTAGTCGCATTGACACAGCTGCTGGGACTGTCACACCAATTTTGAAATTGGAAATTTTGAATGAAAAATTATTTAAATTTGTAAAAATTCTTGAAAACTCTGATTGCCTTCGTAGATCTATTTATTAAAAAAAAATATTAACCTTGTTGACATATCAATGTTTTTTACTACCACGGTTTACTAATGATAATTTAATGATTTCAAAAATTGAAAAATAACTTTATTTTGCCCAATTGCAGAACTGCAAGGATGTATATATTTTAACTACGATAAATATTGTTCCTTCTTTCTGATTTTTCACTACATCTTCCTTGAAAAGGAGCATTTTTAAAGCAAACAACATATGGTATCTTACAGAATTGTAAGAATATAAATGTTTTTACTAGGATTACGGATTTTCCCTTTATGATATCGAAGAAAATTTCAAAACTAGTAAATTTTTGCAGGTACTGGAACAGATCAATAGTTCAAGTGACAGTGAGAGCAATGCTCTGTCCCAGAACCTGCAAGTGTCTACAATTTTTTACTCCGATAACAATTTTCCCTTTATGTTATCGAAGGAAATAGTAAAAATGTACAGATTCTTGCAGTTCTGGAACAGAGCACAAGCTATTAGCACTGACAATTCTTCCGAGAATATCGATAGAAAAAACTAACAATCGATATTCCCTTTAAATATAAAGTATTTATACTATCGATTGTTTGTCATCTCTACTTTATAGTTTTGGACGATGCTGGCAGAATGGATGACGTCGCGAGTGTTCAACTGGAAAATGAAAATTTACGGAAAATAAGATCCAGATTGCTTCAATGGGAAACGAAGAGTAACGCCTTAGCCGCTTTGAATGTGGTGCAAGAAGAATGTCTAGAACAAATCAATCTAGTGTGGTCACAGGAAGTGGATGTAAAATTCATATGCCGCTTTGTTGTTTGGGACATTGCATCTTATTTATTTGTTTAATATTAATTCCAGACCCCAGTTCAGGAGGACAACAACACAGACTCCCAAAATAAGCACGATGACACTGAAGAAAATGGGATTGTTTCCTCCCTTAACGACTTACAACTGCCCTCTGCAACGGGTATTGACACTACCCATGACTTTTTGTTATGGTATGACCGAGTTCATGCCGAAATTCAAGAAAATGCAGACATAGCATCTCATCGCTACCTGCAACAACTGGTGACAAGGAGTAATGAATGTGCTCACATTTTAGAGCAAATTGAACAAGCCATGGGTCGTTTGAAAACCCTAAGAGATGAGTACGCATTCGTGTCCGACAAAACTGATGCATTAAACACTGCAAGTGAAAAGTTGATAGAAGAACAAGAAAAACTTCAGAAGTTGGGAGAAGATATTCATAAACGCCTACACTACTTTAGCCAGGTTGAGTTGCTTAATCAGCGTTTGCATAGCCCCACTTTGTCAGTAGCTTCAGAATCATTCAGAGAATGTTTGAACAAAATCGATGATTGTCTTACATATTTAAAGGAACACGTAAGATAACGATGTATTTCTATCAAAATATATTTTATAATTTGGTTACATTTTCAGCCAAAATTCAAAGACTCCCATGCGTATACTATTAAATACAAACATTGTTTGGCCAAAGCTGTTACTTTGATAAAGAATTATTTCAATACGGTTATGTCTCAAGCAACGGAAGCTACACTACGGCCTAGAAATACAACACCGAATAGCAGTGGAGACATTGCTCCTACGTCGCCTGATGCCGCATTTGCCCTGTACTACGGAAAGTATCAAACTTCAGCGGCAAAAGTAAAGCGAGTTTCACAAATGATTGAATCTCGTGTGGATGTTTGCCACGAATATGCGAATCTTTTGGCAGAATTGCAGCAGAATTATCTGAACGAAAGATCGACAATAATGACACCATCTGTGGATAAGGCAATCAAAGAAATAAAGGCTCAACATAAGGGTGACCACTGCACATTGATGCGAAGTTCGTGTTCATTTCTGGTACACGTCTGTCAAGACGAACATCGTTTGTATTACCAGTTTTTTGCCACCGAAAGTGAATTGCTAACGTAAGCTTTATATAATTTTAAAAATTATGGCCCTTGCATATCGCTTTTTTCCATTGCAGTTCCTATTTGGAAAGCTTATGTAATATTTTATATGACACAATGCGTCCTTTTATTATCCACATAAATCATTTGGAAACGCTGGCCGAAATTTGCTCCATTTTAAGAATAGAAATGTTGGAAGAACATGTTCAGCAGAATCGTGAGTTTAACTTTGGTATTAGCTTTAATATTGACATTGTATAATATGTTCATTTTTGATTTACGTGTAGCCACTCCTCTCGAAGCTTTTTCTTCAGTCGCTAATCAATTGTTACAAGACGCCCAGGAACGTTTAGTATTTAGAGCGCATTTGTATTTGCAATCAGATATTTTAAACTATAACCCCTCAGCTGGGGATCTGGCTTACCCAGAAAAATTAGAAATGATGGAGGTAATACCATTCGTTTAATCCCATTTACATACAGTTTAGAATTACTGTTCTCTTTTAGAGCATAGCTTTATCCCTGCAAGAACCAGCCCAATTAAAACGCTTTGACTCAAGATCATCGTTAATATCTACAAACTCAAACATAACAGATGCTGAAAGCATTGACACGAGTGTTAGCCGAGTTAGAAATATGAGTAAGTGGTTGGAAGACCGACATACAAAAACATATTTTGAATCGTTAATGCCTTTTTAGATTCACCAGCAGATTTACATGGAATGTGGTATCCAACTGTAAGGCGTACCCTTGTATGCTTGTCACGCCTTTATCGTTGTGTCGATAGACCAATATTTCAAGGATTATCACAGGAGGCCTTAAAGTTATGTATACAAAGTGTTTCATCAGCTGCTACAAAAATAGCACAAGCCAAGGTAATTATTTCCCACCCGGTACTGATGTTCAATAGAGAATTATTTTTGTTTTCTTTTAAGACTCCCATCGATGGCGAATTATTTGAGATAAAGCATTTGCTCATATTACGTGAACAAATTGCGCCATTTCGAGTGGACTTTACAGCTAAGGAGACTTCCTTGGATTTTAGCAAAGTAAAAACAGCGGCATTTGGCCTGTTGCAGAAACGAAAACAGCTTTTTTCGATGGGAAGCAATAATGCGTTACTAGAATTTTTGCTTGAAGGTACGCCACAAATTAAGGAACACCTCTTAGATTCTCGGAAAGAGGTAGATAGGCAATTGAAATTGAGTTGTGAGCAGTTTATTAAGGACGCCGTGCAAACATTGGCTGCACCACTAATTACATTCCTGGATAAAGCCCAAGTTGTTGTAAATAGCGATACTAAAACCGGTAAAGATCAAACGCAACAACAACCCGTAACAAAAATAAACTATACATTGCGTCAAAGTACTTGGGCAAGTCCACAACAAATTAGCAGTGTCATTCAGGAAACTCAGCGCCTAATCAAGACCAAATTGCCGGCCCTACAAAGATCTATGCAATTGTATTTGAGTAACCGAGATACTGAGTTTATCATATTTAGACCAATTAGGGTGAGAATATAAAGTATTTATTAATCGTGTGTTATATTCATTATATATGTGCATCACTTTCAGAATAATGTAATACAATCATTTGTAAGATTGGAGCAATTGTTGACGACGAATGGATATAGTGCCGATGATATGATCATTACCAGCTGTCCTTCAGCAGAGCAGGTCTCTATATTACTTTCGAGTGCCAGTATTCTCGCTGCTGAGGCTATTGTTAACTTCTCCGCTTCGCAGAGTAAAATAAGCGCATCTTCTAGTGAAACTGGATGCCCCACACCTCCCAGAAAGATTTCTTTGGACAAGAAAGTTAGCTTCGAAAGTTGCACCAATGTGCCCAATCATATGGAAAATTTAACAGAAGTATCGGAATCTTCGGGCAATAATAGTACTGTGACTTCACCCACAGCCCAATCACCAGTACCCCCTCCTTTGACATCTCAGCAATTGCCGGGACATTAGACAAAAGATTTGATATGTCAATCAAAAGCAACCAATCATTACTGATATAAAATGTGTTGTAAAAACGAAGTTTTATTTGTTAATTTAAAATGTGTAATTTTCTTTTATTATTATCTTTACATAGTACTAAAACAATAATAAACTTATGCAATAACAAATCCAAATTAATTCGTCAAAGTACAACAGGATCCTAAGAAAAGTGCTTAAATCTGTCTACAGAACCAAAAATTGGTATAGAGGTGGTTCATACAATTATAACTTGTTGAGAATGTTTGAAAGTATCTTGACTACAGAATGTTTGAAAGTATTGTGACTACTTGAGCCCATTATTTATGGCATCATTTGGTAGCAATTGGCAAATTAAACCCCTAAACTTTAAATATTAAACTACATAATTTAGGTAAGAGTGATCAGGTTGGCAATTTGCTGAGAGTCTGAACTATGACAATGAACACTTGTCTTTCCCATTTCCTTGTTGGGCATCGCGTCCTCCCACTGGAACAGTAGTATTGTTTCGTCTTTGGGTACTGTTGGCTGCAGCCTCATTGCGTCGATTTCGATCATTGCTTTCATCCAATTCCATGATGGACAAAGCTATTGCACGGGCCAGTGCTTCATCTTCAGTCTAAAAAATAATAATTTGATATTCACTCCATGCTATGTCTTTTTCTAAGATTTTGATGGCTTTTTTGCTCCAAATACTTACCATATTGCCCTGTATGTTTTGAGTCAATCTCTGAGCAGCTGTTTCTCTTACGGCTGCAGTAGTAGGTTTTGGGGCAACGTCAAATAGTGTATTCGGTGGTTTCTGGGTTCTTCGTAATTCAGCAGCTTTGCTATAAGAGGAAATAATTGTTTATTCGTTTCGGTTTTGTCACAGAATTGTGCTTTCATAATTGAAATAGTGGAACAAAATAAAAAAATATACAATTATACGTCTAACCTATGCTCCCTCTAATATAAACTTGACTTAAGGCCCAAAGAGGTTCAAATTTTTCCCGTTAAAGGTTGCTCATTTCCAGAACCTGCTATTCCAGTTTTGCAATTTTTTCCATAGCATAATAGATGTTCTGGAACATAATAGATGTTGGTCTAAAATGTGCAAATAGCTATGAGTCACTGTTGCAATGCTCTTACCAACTGACCGCCAATGCACATTATCGCAATTATTATTATTGACCCATATCTACATTTAAGTGTGATCTAGGAGATTTTCGAGCATCTATTTATGTTATTATCTTAGTATTAAGGATTAGTCTGGGTTAACACTACTGACTGTAACATGCCAGGCTTGGTCAACAAATTGCCAAATTCATAAAATTAAAAGAATTGAAAGCTTACCCAGCCATTGTCTTTGGTTCTTCGAATACAGTTCCAGTCGTTTTTCCCGCTTGACATTCGTGATCTGCTGTGTGTCGATGTCGCAAACAGAAGTTCCTTTTGCACTGCGAACAATTGACTGGTATTAACTCCTTTCGCTTGCATGACTTGTATGAACATCGGTTGGTGAATATCTTTCGAGAATCTGATTTACATTGTTTATCAATATGTTGGCCAACAGTAAGATCTGGTTCGACACCCGGAGCTGTTGGTACTGGGTCCCCACATAGCGGGCACAAAGGCACTTGATGATCTTTCCTTCCGTGTTTGCAATTATGATGTTCGTAATTGAAATGGGATGAACAGAAAACACTTTTGCAGGCGTCACACTTCATTGGCAAAAAGTCCAGCCTGTTGCACGATTTCTCTGAGCAATGTTGTCCCAAATTTGGAAATTCCATTTTTTTATTTTATTTACTTCCGTAATTTTTACAACAATATATTTAGTTTCACAACGAGACTTGCTTGTTTACGCGGAGATGACTAAACATTATGGAGGTAGGGACCTATAAATATATACTATTAATCAAGGAGCAATAACAAGGTGTTTCAAAATTTGTTGAAAAGTAAATTCAATAGTTGTGTCTCGGAACCTGCAAAGACCGAATTTACATTAGGCAAGTTTACTTGCGGCAAGTCTCAGTTTGTTGGAGAAAGTGCTAAAGGGATAAAAGTTATTTTTTTTTCAAAAATATAAAAAGGCAATTGAGTGGCACGCTTAAAAGAAAATGATAAAAATTTCAAGACGGTCCAAAATTTGTTGAAAAGTAATTTAGCTTTGTGTTGTGTCTCATAAAAGTGTGGGCGACACTTGTAAAATTTTGGGATAATACTGTATTATACTACTACTTCTGTTGTTATTCAATTTTGTGGAATAACCCCAAATTTCCATTCTTGTTTAGCGGCTTTTCCACAATATGAGCATTTAAAAAAAAAAATAAACAAAACCACTGTTGCATATTTAAAAGTCTATTTGGCGCAATAAGACTCCAGCGAAGAGTTGCATTTTTCTAGTTTATTTGAAGTTGAGCAACCTTTCTTATTGTACCATGAGCTCTATAGTGTTGTGTTTACATTTTAGGTATTACGTCCAAAAACAAATCCAAAAACAAAATAAACAAAACCAACTGTTGTATATTTAAAAGTCTATTTGGCGCAATAAGAATCCAGCGAAGAGTTTCATTTTTCTAGTTTATTTGAAGTTGAGCAACCTTTCTTATTGTACCATGAGCTCTATAGTGTTGTGTTTACATTTTAGGTATTACGTCCAAAAAAAATCCAAAAACAAAATAAACAAAACCAACTGTTGCATATTTAAAAGTCTATTTGGCGCAATAAGAATCCAGCGAAGAGTTTCGTTTTTCTAGTTTATTTGAAGTTGAGCAACCTTTCTTATTGTACCATGAGCTCTATAGTGTTGTGTTTACATTTTAGGTATTACGTCCAAAAACAAATCTGCACGTAGTTGTTGTTACGTTTATCGTACAATAACACTTGCTGTTGCCGACGTTTTTCACCTCACACTTTAAACACCTGTATTTATATGAGAGTTACGCAAATACGTCGGGAGTATAAAATTTCAAAGTAGAACAATTTCAAAATTGACAATTAAACGATTTTTCCTTGAAAATATAAACGATAATACAAAAAATATGAATGTTTGTAACTGAAAAATATAATAATTTGATGAATGTTAATAATTATAAATTTGTACAACGTTAATTTTTTGGTAGGTGCATTGTAGAATCAAGGAGGTAAAGTCATGCAATCATATGTTTACAATTTTTTCAAAAATTATTCATTTGACAACATCTCATTGTCAAAATTTGTATTTATAATTCCATTGTATACCCAGAAACAGAGATGGGAACCTGTTTTTTTGTAGTGAAATGTAACACGGTAAATTACAGGAAATGCAATGATGGGAATTTTTATTTGAAATTACTTTACCTTCTTAATTTTACCATGGGTAGGTAGTAAGAAAAGGACATGGCGTAATTGGTTAATGCGGAATTTCATTTAATATATCTTATCTTAGGTACCCAAATAAACATTCAGTTTATACCGTAAATACAAGAACATACAATTTTCGGAGAATCCATTCTTCCCGGGATATTGGGTTCCAAAAGTTCCCCAAAACACCGTATGTTGTGCTTCGCCAATTCCTATGATGTAGAGATGGTATGTTCATTTGAAGTGGCTTTACCTTCTTAATTTTAACATGTGTACGTATTTATTGTTTTGTAAAATAAAAAAAAAAAACATTTTCAAAAGCAATGAATTATTATTTTCTTACTTAATTCGTGTGAATAGTGTTATATTTGAGTTGCTCACAATTTTTATGACGGCGTTATCACTAAAGAGGGCGGCGGCCGTTATCACCTAAATTGACTCGCACCATTTCTGGCAGGGATACGACAAGGAAAAGAAAATTTAAATCTGGGTTAAAGAAATGGCTCCACAACCCGTGGTCACTGGATTATCGCCCAAAGAAGGCCCTCCTGGTACTCGAGTTATTATACGAGGAGAATTTTTGGGAACTGAATCCATTGATTTAATTGGTGAGTAATCAATTTGTTTTTTTGGGGAGGCGAATAATGTATTGTTTTTGTTTTAAGGTCTGAAAATATGTGGCTCCGACTGCTTGCTTTCTGCTGAATGGGTTTCGCCAAATAAAATTATAGCCCGTACGGGTCCTGCTAAAGGTCTGGGAGACATCATTGTGACAACCCGTAGTGGAGGTGAAGGCACGTCCTCTGTGCAATTTCGGGCAATTGGAAATCACGAGATTATTGGTCCCCTAAAAGAATCGGCTGTTTGGATTGAAGAGGCACCTACACAAAACTTTGCCTGGGGTCGCAGAACATTAGTTCAGTCGGTGCTCACACAAGAAGACCCTTTAGGTCTTTCCACAGAAGGAAATGAACAAAAAAATGTCGACAATTTACGGGAGTTATTTCCAAGTTCTAGTGGGGATCTTCTCCAGGAGAATTTCTCTCCCGCTCTTTTTCTATTAGAGAAACACTCGGCAACAACATTTGCAGACTTAAAAGTTGGACTAAAACATTTAAACCGGAAAGTAGAGAGTCAAAAAGAGGGTCAACTGTCATTTTTAAAATCGAATGCAGGTTCCGTCATCGATCAGTTAGACACCATGATGAATATCCGTGATAAGTTGCTGGAGGACTTGAATCAGTACGGTCCTGAACCGCTTAATGTATTGGAACAACAAATTGAAAGTATGTCAGATCTTTACATCACTTAAAATTAAAGCTAATATTTATTCCCAGACTCAATTTCAAAGTCGGAGGACATATTTACGGATGTTCTAGTGCGCAAGGAAAAAGCAGATTCTACGCGAGCAGTTTTGTTGGCCTTGTCGCGTCACAAATTTCTTTTTTGTTTGCCCAACTCAGTTGAAAAGAAGGCTGCAGCTGGGGAGTATGATATAGTGGTCAACGACTATGCCAGAGCAAAAAGTCGTTTTGGAAAAACAGAGATTCCCGTAATACATTTGAAACAATAATGGAACTGATAAGAATGATATTGATCTCTCATTTTGAATTTAGATTTTCCGTACGGTTATGGAAGAAGTGGATCATCGCATTTTGCAAATTCGTAAACAACTTCATGAGAAAGTTATTAAAATGCCGCAAAGTGTGGAACAACAACGCAAACTTATCAAAGCTCTGATTAGTTTGGAAGTTCAACAATCTGGATCCAATATCAATGATAAGTTGCGAAATGCCGATCCTGCTTGGGACGCCATAGATGCGAGGGCAAAATACCTGGAACAGACGTTTAAGCAGACATTTGAGCAGTATGCCTCAAAAGATGCCCAAGGCGCAGAAAGTATGTGTACACTAGACGACAGTTTCATCGTATTTTATTAATATATTCCTTACAGAAAGTAAAAATCGGGACCCATCCCAACCACCCAATAGAGTTGCATTTTGTGAGGAAATTTGTGAGATAGCTGCTTCACAATTACCCGATCTTTGGCGTTTGGGTCAGATGTATTTTACAGGAGAACTACGAGGTCCAAATGATCCACGTCCTGGAGATTTTAAGGTGCGTACGTCGTCCTGTTCTAAAGCACATAAATATTTATTGAACATTTCATGAATTTTTAGAGAATGATTTTAAATGCGATAGAAAAATTTTGTATATATCTAAAAATCGCAATGTGCACTACAGATGCTGAAGCACGGTCTTTGCGTCAAAGTGTGGGACTTATATGGCCCATTTCTCATGGTTCCCATGACATTTTTAAAGCTTGGCTTCCGCAATGTTTACGATATACCCGTATAACCTATGCGACATTGATAAGTTTAGATTTACCATCTTCAGCCTTGGATATTGTTCAAAAGTTCATCGACGAAACACGGTTACATTGTTTTTCCAATATCTTTGAAAGAGCTACGCAGAAATGCAGTAAATTAACTGATTTGGAGACATGGGAAATGGGCGTAGAAGATTTTCCGGGTGCTACCTTGCTGCCCCAGCGCTTAGAAGACTTATTAATAGAGACTCTAGATGAAGCCCAACAAGCCTGTATTAATCCTGAAATAAGGTAAGTCTTATGTGTTTTATATTTTTTCCTGTATATTTTGTGTAAATTTGAATATGATTTTCTTTGTCGGACTCTGTAAAAATTTAATTATTGCTTGAAGATATATGTTAGAAGAATATTTGGTTCTGTAATTGGTTTCTTTTTAGGGAGGGCAATCTTTTAGAAACGGAATCTGATGGACAACGAGAAGTTTCGTTGCGTTTACAAAAAATGTTATTATGTTTTTGCGATGTGATTCAGGAACTGGCTTTTAATTCACACAAAGAAGAAACCCCAACTCACAATGTGTCGCAATTGTTGGGCTATCCCAATAATCAGAGTAGCGGACCTGCCTCAGGAAGATTTGCCAGTCTTTCCCCTTCCACGGCCATAACCTGGGAACAACGAATGTTGTGCTGTTTAGCTAATTGTGCCTATTGCAACAAGAGCTTCTTCCATAGAGTAGGCAAACTTTTCGAAAGGTAGGAGGTAAACATGTTAACTTTCAGAGACTAATGATAACCGAAATGGTTTGGCATTTTAGGTACGGTTATCCATTACCATCCCTGGCAATTGAAACTGCGCGATATTCAGTTAACAAATTATTTTCCAATATTTTGGATGCATATGTAGAGCATAAAGGTAAGTGAAAAGATCGATTCTGTTTGCTACTGAGCTCAACTGAGTATTTACTTTTTCAGGCGATCCTTTGGTTGGAACAATTGAGCCCTCCATGTACTTGGGTGGATTTCAATGGGATATTGAAATGCCCATTGGAAACTTGCGTCCCTATGCCCATGAATGTTGTGATAATTTAGTAGCTGTTTATTCCGAAATATACACTATATCACCGGCCTTGCTACGATCTATTTTGGAACCGATTGTATTAACGATATCGGAAGAATTAGCCCGTCTTATGAGTTGTGTTCCACAATTCAGTTACTCTGGTGCCATACAGGCAAATGTTGATATACGTTTGTTGAGAGATACCATGCGTATTTATACCAACGAAACGGGGAGGTAGGTAAAATGTCATGTTACATTGAATAAGGAAGCTTTTAAAAAAAGGGATTCAGAAATTCAGTAGCTCGAATTTCATGTTTATATCTTTTATGTAACAAACAATGTATCAATTTACAGAAACTATTTCCTGGAAGCTCTGGAAGCAATCAATCCTCCATTAAATGCTGAACAAATGAAACAGGCTGACGAAATTTTGGAACATGTGAAGGAACGAATGAAATTACAATTGATGTGTTTCTTTGTAAAAGAACCATAACGAGTTATTTTGAATCTACCATTGTGCAATTTCAAATATATTCCATTTATAGTACTCTATATATGTGTGTGTGCTCTGCTCCCAACAAATATTTATATAATACACAGTATTTCATTTTTTATCGAAAATATACACACAGGTTTTTGTTTTTACACACAATTAAATTCTAAAATGTCATTTGCATTTTCCATAGCTGAGCATTGACAACAGATAAATATTGCACATTAAATTGACAAGGAATAGTTAAGTCCTAAACATGGTCATTCAACTTTTTACAACCAAAATCGTTAAAAAATATTTTATTAATTTGTCTACATTTATAATTACGATTTAAGGTATAATCTGCACATTTACAACTTAAAATCGAAGGAAACCTTTTCTCCGTTTTGGTATTTCTCAAAGTTTTCCTTAATGGTTTGTTCAACGTCAATGGTATTGAACTTCTCTTGAATGCGCATTCTAATGGGATTCTCCAAAGCGTCCATGATTTGATAACGCAAGAGGTTTGGCAAAATATTTACCACAAATTCCATAACATAGTCCAAGGTGCCAGCACCGTCACACCTCACTTGAATGTTGCCCATATCAATTTGTAAGTCATTGATTTGTGGACGTTTTCTTGTATCCAGTGGCTGACTCACATCGACAGTCAATCGAATGTATTGTAAAGTGAATTGAATGTGGCCAACTCGCGAAACTAGTCCTCCATTCACTTCCCACTGGCCACCGCCGGCAATTTGTTGAGTTCCTACAGTGACCTCTAAGAATATAGTATTATTTTCCATGGAGGCAATGACATCACCGTGCCTATAGAATGTAGATAATCCATGAATCCAAGTGTTCGATAACTGCATTCCGAACACTCCCATTGTACGATTGTAGTCGGGCAGGCGGAAAGGATCATAACCCATTTCACGCACTTGTTTGCGTCCTTCAGCAATAGCCATGTCTAGTGGACTTATGGAATTTGGCAATAATTTGTCACCCATTAATTTGGCAATGTTTTTATCGATATCTTCTCTCAATTTTGAATCGGCTTCTTGCAACATAAACGGCTTCATAGCATCAAACACTAGATTGGGTGCCGAATTTACAATTCCCTGGAAAACTGTTCCAAGAAAGCCCAAATTCTGGAAATCCATAGACATATCGGCGAATGTGACATCCATTTTAATGTGATCGGTAAGTAAGTGGCCGTCTCTTTGTACAGCTAATGTTGCGACACCTGCAAAATACACAAATACGGAGAAACAAAATACGTAAATATGCGAATTAATCGAGTTACACATAGAATAACTAAATTTCGAAACTAAACATACCAGTAATCAAAACTTTTTTTAGAATAACAATAAAAGGACCATTCGCCTTGGAGAAGAAAGATGTTAATGTGTACGAGCCTTTTGTTATCATTTCGTCCAGCTCAACAGCACATTTGACCTGTTGTGGTTAAAAAAGAAAATGAAAATAATAATTTTATTTCGTGCAGAAAATTTTCAAAGATCGTACAAACAATCCGATCACTCTCGATTAAATGAAAAATATTTCTGCTTATAGAAAATTTGATTTCTGTTTAAAGATTGCGTGGTAATAAGAATCGTATATCTACGTACTATAAGCACTTTGTCGTATAAGTCTAGTGTCGACATTTTACAACTTCTCCAATTCTATTCCTACAAAACTCTGATTTAATTCTAAGAATTTTCAAAGGTGATTGCTGAAGTCTGAGAGTATTTCCCCATTGGCTTAACTTCATAGTACTCCATATAACAGAGCTTTGCAATATTTGCTGATCGCTATCCACATCATGATTTTATCCCGGTGAGTGGAATGGCTTTTAATGCTTTTTAATGTTTGTTAGAGCCTTATGCATATGTATTATTAAGTAAATAATAGGCATCTGCAATTATTTACTGTTAGTAATACAAGTTTTTAAATTTCGAGATTTACTATCTTGTGTCTCTAAAAGCGTTACAGCTCTGTTGGCAGTGACACCCATGAAAGGTTTGAACATCACTTGCCTACTTCATTATAGTCCCTAAAACAGGGATGATGACTGTGACAGTCAACTGTGCTGTGAAAATTTTACAGTCGAAGCACAGCGACAACTGTTGCTTTTGAAACAAAACACTACCACAGCAAATCCACAGCTTATTTTTGATTTATCCACAGCTTTGCTGGCAGCAAATTCAAACACTGCGTAATACGCCTTAATCCGAATATTGAGTCACTGTAGAACTCAAACTAAATTGTAAAATTATTGGAAAGAAAAGGTCAATTGCGAATTCCGAGATCGTTTGCCCTGATAACCACTTTTAAATATATATTTAGCTGTCTTGGAGATAAGATTGAGATAGTTATAGTTTGCACAAAGCTTCAATTTTTCGAACTTGTATGAGTGTGTGTGTGTACGTACCGTCATAGCATTCAAATCGGCCTTTATGCTGACAATGCGAAATTTTGATAAGCCATAGGATTGGACATCGTACATACTTAATGTAGCCATACCAAGGTTTTTCTTCATATCGGGTACATCCATGGGATCAGGCACTGGAGCACCAGGAAATCCTATTGGATCTTCCTGTTTGTAGTGATTCAATACGGCATAGAGCTGGGCTGCCAAACGATTTTCACTAACTTTGACGTTGTGCTCGTCTAGGGAATTTGCATTATCTGCTTCGGCGTGTGCGATGTTGTCGGTGGTTTCCTCTCCATGTTGGTCCTCTAGAACCCATTAAACACATTTTATATCCATTGATTATTAATTCATTTCAAGTATTTACCGATTTCCTGTGATCTTGCTTGACACATCAAAGCAAGAGTGCCCAGCAAAATCAACCACGATCTTTGTATTCTCATTTTCCGTGTTTTTAATTCGGTCTACGGCTTATTTCCACTGAGTTATCAGTTGTAAGTAAGTAAATCAATGCACACACACGCTACTCTTTATAATCGAAGACACCATCACACTGTGTAGAAAGAAGCGCTGAAGATAATTCTGAGTCGCTCGTTTTCTTGGCTGGGGTCTTTGTTTGTGCGTTGTCAAAGAGCCTTTAATTTGTGTTCTGTTCTTCCAACTACTGCGCTAAGATGGTTTGAGTGAAAAAATACAAACGCCTTCCTTGACGATCACACTACAAATGCGGATGCTGCTACTGATGCGATGTTATGTTTGGGACAGACATTCCGACATAAGACAAATCGCTGGAGAGACAAATTCTGAGAGTGAGCTATTGACAGAGATGCGGCAGCAGATAACAAAGCAACAGTGGTTTTCTGTTAAAAAAATAATAACGTTTTCGATGCCCTAACCCTTGGAATACATAATATATAGACTTGGGATTTTCACATTTTTTTCTAAAATTTATTGTTATTATTGGTTTTTAATATTGGTTCTAATGGAAATAATTGTTATTTATTGCATTCGTACGTAATCTCTTAATAGTTAACTGAACACTATCCAAATGTACATCGTTTTTTTTGTTGTTTTCATTATTTTAATAAATATTTCGTTTTATTATGAAAAATTTCATATACATTTCTTTTGTTTACCTTTTCAATATTAAATTTATAAATACTTAAACGTAATAAGCAACACTTATTTAAATAGATTGGAAATTTGCAGTCGTAAAATATTTAAAGCGAATAATTAAATAAAAATAAAACAGATCGATGCTTAAGACCTGGTCTTACGTTCAAATTAAAACTAAAAACCCATAAAACGCATGCTAATATCCAGTTAAGATAATAATTCTCTTTACGACAAAAATATATAAAAATTATTAAATCTAATTTAGTTCTAGATTCTATGAATTTGATGTTGAGATTAAATAATGGGGAAAAATCTACTTTGTTTCCGTTTTTGAATACTTTCACCATTGGTTTTCGAGCCCTAAATGTAATGTTTTGATGTATACAGTTTGAAATACAATACATAACCGCTTATATGTCGTACACATAACTCTTCCATAGATATATTTCAATCTTCACGTTATCGTATGTAGACACATACGAGTATATGTGATACACATATGTATAAGTCACATAAACGTGGTTTGAATTATTATCTATAGTAGGTTTGTGTAGATCATGGAAACAACTATGTACGATCCTTGGAGAAAAACTAATGCCTAACATTGATATTATATATATTCATGTGTGTGTTTACTTTATATAAATATGTGTACGTATATGTGCTAGACTGGGATGTTTTATTAAAATAAAACATAAAATCCATTTTTCCGTCAATTCCCCTTTGCAGTCACCACAAAACACTTTCATGCGGGAACATATGTTAAATGAAAATTTTAAATGCATCTGGTACGGTGTCTGCGTGTGTGTGTGTTTTTTTTTTTTTTTGTAACAGAAAAATACTTAGGGGTTTTAGGTGACGGTAAGACTGTGTCGAACAAAAAGGAAACACTGGCTTTGATATGTTAACAACAAACTGAATTGTGGGTGGGAGTAAAATTTGTATAATTTTTGTTTGAGACACGAAAATTACGCATTTACTCATGTATTGGGACTACCTAAGGACTTCAGATTTATTGTGGTATTACGATGGGTAATTGTACCGCCACCTCCCAATGATACAACTGGCAGCGATGTAACATCTCTTCCCGAAGCTGCACTAGAAGACGTTACGACGAGATTTGTATAATGCTGACTCATTTCACCACAATTCTCCAGGATTTCTGTTGTAGTGCTATTGGCGGTCTGAGTCTGGGGGTTGCTGATCATCATTGGAGCTAAGGTAAGGGTGGCTGTGGTGGGGGCGGGTGACGAGGAAGGAGTTAAAACTGATGCAGAAGCTGGTGAAGTGTTAGCATTTGCGTTGGAACCTATTGTATGAACTGTTATTATATTTTGTTTTAATTGTTGTTGCAGCTGCAAAGGTAACGTGCCCGTGGATATTCTTTGGGAAGTCAAGGCTTGGTGATGCTGCTGTTGTTGTTGAAATATTTGTGGCTGATGTTGTTGCTGGTTTTGTAAAATAAGTGGCAATGATGCTGTAGCTACTGGTGAACTTGCATGTTGGGCAGTTGTACTTATTGTTGAGGGCAAAATAAAATTGTTGCTTCCGGAAACTGAAACCACAGCTTGAGGTAGTGACTGAAGCATTTGCAGTCCTGGTACTTGATTTGCGGATTGTGATGTACCCGTTGTAAACAAATTAACAACTGATGAGGAAAAAATAAATTAATATTAATGTACTAAAGCATTTGAATCATCCGTCAGTTACCTTGAAATTTTCCTTCTGCATTTTGTATAAGTAGAGATTCCCTTTGCATTTGATCTAATTGGACAATATTACCCGGTGTTGTTGATATTGTCGATGCTACCGATGTTGTAGATGAGCTTAAGGACGCCTGCGTCACATTGGGCGTGTGTTGTACAGACACCGTGTTAGTTGTTGTATTAGGCAGAGGACTGCTACGAGGAGTCACTTGCACATTTCTGCTAACTAATGCAGCTGCGCCTTCAAAACTTGGCTTCATATTAAGTGGTGTGGTTGCTGCTGGAGATGCCACTGTTTCGTTGGCTTCCCCATTTGTAGGTGGCGCCAACCTAGTGGAGCTGGTTGCTATCGGCAATTCATTGACATTTCCATGATCGTCTGCCATTTGTATTTCATAACAGGCAAGTTCTGGTATCACAGGTCGTACTTTCATACCATCTGGACGATGGGGATTACGGCATCCACGACATTTACAGCCTATGCATGACTTTGAGTCCACGTAACAGGGACAACGTTGACCGCAACAAGTCAATTTGCCAGGAGTGGATGTGGTATTGCCACAGCGGCATCCTCTCTTCTTATTAATGGTTTTCGATATGGGTCGCAAAATGGTGGCATTGGGAGCTGATGTCGAGACATTTTTCTGTAAATTAAATAATTAAATACAACTTTCTCTGCAATATTTTCTTTTGCAATACGAACCTTTTGGGCCACATCTTCATCACCATCTGTTTTCCTCTTGATGGTAATTTTATTGCCAATTCCTGTATATAGCACAGAGTACATTGCAGAACCATTGGAAACTGTTTTAATGGCAGGAGGATTGCGAATTTGCGATGTTACGGTAGCGGTTGTAAATGCATTTGTCAATGTAGTGGTGGCTGTAGGGGCAGATGTGCGCAAGGAGGACGTATTCAGTGAAGGAACTGTTTTTGCCAACTGCGTTGGCGCCAAGGAAACCTTAAATGTGGCCAATTGGGGTTTTACGTCTGTGGCAGAAGAAGACACGGACGATTGTTGTGTATTTGTCGCAGTGGGTGTAGTTGCCGAGGAAACTACTTGCAAAGCCCTTGCTTGAGCAAGCTGTCTATTGAGTGTCTGTAATCTAGCTGATGCTATAGAGAGTGGCACTGTGGTTGTACCGGAAGAAGAAACAATGGGCACTACGATGCCCCTAGTGTTAGGACCAATGTATGTAATGTTACCAGCATTTTTAAGCTGATTTAGTTGAATTAGTTGAGGATGGTTATATGTTGTTGTATTGGAACTCTGTTGCGGACCTGGCGTTGAGCCGTGATTTGCGGGAGCTGACAAATGTGATAAAGGCTTAAAGGTTGGCGAAGTTGTCTCGACTTTAATTTTTGGTACGTGAGTTTGGGGTAGATTGGAAATTGGTCCGCTAGCTGAGGTTGGCGGTGTTGACGCCTTGGGCGCTGTTGACTGAGTTACACCAGAACATTTGATGTTTTGCTGCAGGGGAGCTAATGGTGTGGCGGCTGTGGTTGATAGTGGCACCACCAATGCCGGCATTTGTGGCTGCTGCTTTGGGTGAGGGTTGTTAGGTGCATATGAAACTTGTGGCTTGGGCAAGTCTTTTGAAAAGCTTGACATAATGTCATCATAACTGGCTCCTTCAACAATCAAATCTTGCAAAGACATTTGTGGCATACTTAACGTGGGTGACATTACATTAAACTGCAGCAATTTTCGTCCTGCTAATTGGGGAAATATATGACTGCTACGTAAGTGTTCGCATAGACTTTTGTAACAGACCAACAAACATCGCAGCTGTTTATTCTCTTCATAGGTCTTATAGTCCCGATTTTCGCGACAATGAACGCACGATGGACTCAGATTCTTCTGACCACGTATACAAAGGCGACACACACTGTGGTTGCAGTGTCCATGGCTGGGTGAGAAAGGATCTGTTGCCAAACGACAGCAAACAACACATGAAAGCAGCTGTCGTAGATTCAACAATTGCCGGGGCAACTCGTTATTGGTGCTGGAATTGGCGGATGATAGTTCCGTGGTCTGGAGCACCAGCTTAGCTGCGTTTACATAAACACTTACAGCAGCATTCATAGCAACAAAAGATCGGATGTGTCGTTTGTTGTTAAGGGACATATAATTAACACATGACAAGTCTTCCCGACAAATTCCACCAAACACTAGGCCAATGGAACCGTTCAGAGCAAATAAATTCCTCTTGCGAGCGATAGATAATACTGTTTTTGTTTTATTTATTCCACTTTTCCGCTCATTGTTTGTATCGCTTTCGTCTCGTATACCAGAAACGCACAAATTGTTTTATTTCCAATAAGAATTCACTTTACATGCACAGACTGTTAAATGTTGAAGTTTTTCCAATACTTTATTTTGCTACAATTCTCCTCGACGATATTAAATATATCAAATCTTTTCGGAAATATTTTGCAATTTTTGCAAAAATTCTTACAAATACTAATAATTAGACAACGGAGTGGAACCCTTTTTTCGGCAGCGGCGGCGTCTTATCAGGTGTAGACTAATCGGCGGCGGCGCGCTTTGTTTCTGTGTACTCTGTACCCAAACACATCAACAACTTTGTACAAGTATACACCAATACACAAAGAGTTGCGAATGAAGAAAAGGGCAACACGCCGAATACGCCGAAATGTATAGAAAGTGGAAGAGGCAACACGCCGCAACAGCTGTTTGTTCTAGTAATTATTAGAGTTGTGTTGTTCGGGAATTGTAAAGTTCAAATAAAAAAATATTCTGTGAAAGGAGCAATCGAACTATTGAAACCCCGTTCGTGTATTTAGTTCAAATAGTTCCCTTTATATTCAAAGTGGCATTATACACCAAAATATGTTGTGCTCCAGTACCGGAAGTACTATATTACAAAATTTTACAAATTTTTACAAGACTGAAGAAAGTCTATTTCAGAACTTTCGTCTGTAGTTGGTGAGAAGGCGTTTGTTGTGAGAGTTGCGAGATTGTGGAATCAGCTCCCTCTGGCCCTGCGTAATTTTACCTGTTCTTTTGATATGTACAAGAAGAGGTGTTTTGAATATTTGTCTGTTCATTGAGTTTCTGGTCGCGGGTTATATTTTGTTATTTCTTTTTAGTTATTGGCTGGGGGCCATTTTTATGGTTGTTTATTTTCCATTTAGTACATAATTTTATTGATTTTTTCTTTTTTAAGGATTTTTTTGCTATACTTGTAGTAGCTACATTCGCTCGGTTGGAAACGAGTTATGATTAGCGCTTAAGTGTATTGATGCCTCTTGCCTTTTTCCTCTCTACCTTGCTAAACTGTTGTTCAGCTTGGTAGAGGAGTTTTGTCTGAGGGTCTAATTGCTACTAAATTTAAATTATTATTATTATTTTTTGTATATATTTTACTATTCGTTTATAATTTTTGTTATTTATTTAGTTTTTTTAGGATTAATTTTGTTATAGATTGTTTTTATACTGTTGTATGTTAATATAAGATTTTGGCCATGTTGGCTTATTTATATTGAATTGTATGAAATAAATGAAGTGAAATGTAAGACTTTTTTTCTACGAGAACCGACTTTCCCTTTATTATATCCAAAAAAATTGTAAAAGTTGTAAATTTTGCAGGTTCTGGAACATTGGAACATTATTTGAGAATTTATTAAAATAATATATTTCGGCTTTACCCTGGTTCCTGTTTAAAGACCCATATCCCTGCACCGGAGAAAGACAATAAAATAATTTTGACAATTTTACTAGTTTGTTGTTCCTCTACTATCTGGGAAAAGCAATTGTCCCAGAGCGATGTAACACTTCTCTCGTTAACATGACACGTGACTCGGTGTCTATTCGTTATTCGACCATTAATTATTAAATATCTACTTAATTCCCAAAATATTTGTTCTTTATCCCATTAATGACTCGATGGGAAAGATTGTTCACTTCAAGCAACTAGGAAAATGCAACTCTGTAGTGGACTCTTATTGTGTTAAATAGACATTTGGACAAATAGTTTTGTTTATATTAATTTTTTTCATAAAATCCGTATAAAACATGAGTGCAAAGTAGAGCTTATACCACAAAATTTAAGAACAAATTGTGCAGTTTGTTGTCCGTTAACGTGCAAATTTTGCATTTCAATATTTTTTTGTTTATTCAAAACAGTACACATCCATAAAAAACTGTGCATATGTGCTTGTCCAACAAGAATTACTTACCCAATTCTTTGTTTTGTTTATTTATTTGTTTCAATCATGGTGCATATAAATAAAGGTAACCTCATTTCAAATTAGCATTCCCAGCAGTACTTCAATGCATGAACCAGTAAGGAAAGGTCAAAAGTCGGGCGGAGCCAACTATATGATATCCTAAACCACTATGTGTATTTAGTGGAACTCCCGCAACAAAAAATGTTTACATTAGGAATTTATGTGAAGCAGGTCATACCAACTTTGAACCAAATAACATTGCCGTACAGTGCAAAGTTTCACCAAATGGTAAGATTCGGTAGAATTTGAAAAAATCTATTCAATTTGGGCTGATATTACATAGCAATAACGTTAAAAGCGGATGAAGGTGTATATCAAAGCTATAAAAAATCTGCACCGATCTGGTTATTTGTAGGTCATAATGGTGGAGAGTAATAAAAGTTCGGCCCGGCCGAACTTAATGTATTTTACTTGTTGTGTATTATTTCCCTTGAAATTTTTCTTTATAAAACAATTATATTGTTGTTGCAAAAATGTTAGTTGTTCCAATGCATGCATACACCTTAGTTGGTAAAAACTCGTGTGAAGTTTGCGCGAAAAGAACATTGTATTTTTAAGGGAGCCGGCTGAGGAAAAAATGAAATTTGCTTCATTCATCTCTCTTCTTTCCCATAAAACTTATTTCCTTCTCCGTGAATATTCTCGTTTGTCTTAGGACTTACTTATTGCACTAAGGCAGCGTGAGTGCTTTAGAAATTTACTTCTAAAGGCATCCTCAATGATTTGAAAATGAAATAATGTTAGGTGCCTATTCCCTGTAATTCTATAATTCACGGATGACCTTTTGGGATAGAGAATAAAATTCTGTGGGTCATCTCAAAAAGTTGGATCAAGTAGATGAATGAAGGCACGCAGATACATATACATAATTTGCTTACGTCCAATCGATTGATTTTTCCATTTTAATGTTACATATTTGCATTGGTCGGTCGACGTCAACCCTCTCAAAAAGATTTGTAACAAAATGGTAAGTATGTGTGAAGATCGATCAGAGCACGCCACAATCACCACCACCAGACAGACACATATGCTCAGTTCTTGAGTTGCTTGTTTGGCTGTCTAGCTGGCTGGCTAGATGCTTGCTTGGCTAGCTCACATCTTGGGTGCTTCTTCGTATTTACACGAAGGAAATGTTCTGCTCTTCGTTTGCCATAATTCGAGTGTGTTGGTGAAAATCTGCGTGGGGATTCGAATTTTCTGAAAATTCTAATTGGAATTTTCATTTGGTCGATCAGTTAGTGTTTCGTACTCGTCGAGTGTTGTTCTCGGTTTTTCTTCTCGAGAGGATTCGTTGTTCCACACACAAATAGTAAATCTTCCTCATCTCTAACATAGAATACACTCAAACACCAACACACACACGTCGCCCCCTCATCTATAATTTACAAAGCATATCGTGGTATATGTGCATAGAACGGAGGAGAGATAATAAAAGTCTGTTACAATTTTGAAAACGTTACGTTACGTACGGGATAAAGCCGTTAAAACGCCGTGTAAGCGTGCGAAAAAAACGTGGTAATTTTACTGGTTAGTGTCGCAGAACGAGGCGAAGAAAAGTGACAGTGACAGCTTTTTCTACAATTACATAATCGAAGTGGGAATTTTTTGTTCGATACGATCTCACACACAAAATGGCGTGTCCTCTTCACACGGCCACTTTCGATATGATTTCAAGAATTTCTAAGAAATATTAAAATTTTATGTGAAAAAAAGAGCTAAAAAAGCATTACACACATTGTTTCGATTTCAAATCAACGAGAGCAAAAATCAATGCAAAATATATTAGAAATTAAAAAAATAAGTTATAATTTTAAAAAGTGAAATTAAAAATTTCTAATAGAGTCGGATGGAACAGACGAATGTGGTGGGACACACAGAAGAAGTGAGTGGCACTCTCTTGCTTGTTATACCTTTGGTGGCCAGAATTTTGTGGTATCGTGTTGAAGACGCCAATGACGGTGCTACTGCTGCACACACAGTTTAACGAACTGAGTTCATTTCTATTTTTGAATTTTCAAAATCATCGGCCAAAGCATTGCCGGCAGTCGGCGGGAGCAAACATCAAAAAAACAACACAATATTGAAAAAATAAAACAGCGCGCCATTGTGCGCTTGGATGTGCTCGGCTCCCGAAACCAAGTTCCTATTTATTTTGTTTCATGTAGCAGAGGAAAATGGTTGAATCTCCACCACCACTTTTGAGAGATTTGTATTTTGACTTTGCCAGGAACTAAAAATTGTGGAATCGTAATGAGAGAAAACTTAAAAAACAATTTTTTTTGGCGAATGGTCCTTTCTACATTCATAGATTTGGTTGGCTGGTTGATAGTGGTTGTCTGGAATACAAAAGTGTGCTGGAGTTATAAGTTGAAGAGGAATTTATAAAAATTGTATATGTTTCGTTTTTGAAATACTGAACGCAGTGATTCAATGCAGACTTCCTGGTTCATTTTCGCGTTGTTGCAAATTCTTTTGGTTTTGAGATTAAAAATATTAAAATGATACTATTAGAAAATTTAGTAAAATTATACAGAAACCATTAAATACTATTAATATATTGTTTATAATTGATTTGAAATTAAATATTTTTTTAGACTATTAATATATTGTTTATAATTGATTTGAAATTAATAATTTTTTTAGGCGGATAAAGTAACTCTTTCAGTTTCCAGGCAGCCCCACTTATTGAGTCCATAAACGGACAGGGAAAGTGATTAGAAAACAAAATTGAGTTTTATGGGAAATTTTATTTTTTCTCCTTCTCTCCCAAAAATTCGCTTCCTTTCTTTTCCACAAAAGTCGCAATTTATTCGGCCAAACTTGTAAAGTTTGAAGATAAATTAGGGATACATCTAAAATTGACTATACACACTTTTTCCAACAAAACTTTCTTTCATTAAAAATCATTAGAAAAATGTCCCAAAACAAGGATATGAATGTTGGCGGGGAACGTTTTTGGTCTATTTTAGAGGAGAGAAAGAGAAGGTTTGCTCAAAATATGAGGGTAGTACCAATTTGTCTATTTTAGAGGAGAGAAAGAGAAGGTTTGCTCAAAATATGAGGGTAGTACCAATTTGTCTATTTTTGAGCATTATTCGATGATAGTCATGAGTTTTTTTTTTAATGGTAATAAAATTTAATTGGTAAGAAAAAACTCATTTTTATACCCTCCAACTTGAACAAGAGCGTATATTTAATTTGTCATTCCGTTTGCAACATCCCTAAATATTCGTCGTAGACCCCATAAAGTATATATATTCATGATCAGCATAAAATTCTAACGATGTTCGTCTTTTGAAATCACAATACAGCCCACATTACTTTGGTATAATAGTTTGTATTGTCGCTAGGATGGTTGGTATTGAAAATGAGACATACCGGTCCACGTTTTGGGGTAGCCGCTATATAACAGTTCCTCCCAATATTCGGTATTTTGATGGTTTTAGTCATATTATTCTACGGATTTCTGTAAAAAGTTATATTTGTGTTTCGTAATGGGTTCTAGCTCCGGTGGCGGAATATTGTATATACAGGGTGAGATAAAAAACTGGAACAAAGTCAAGCGGCATAATTTTTACATTTTTTTTTCAATTCTATTGAATGAAAGCAAAAAATGTGGGAAATAGCATACAATTTTAGAATAAGTTTAGATTTGTTCGAATTGGTCCCTTTTGGCAGGAATTATGCCCTTCAAACGGCCAATGAAACCGTCACACGCTGCCTGAATGTTGCTCTGGGATATTTTGGCCCATTCCCGGCGAAGCGCTTGCTTGAGGTGATCGATACTTTGGCATTTTTTAGTGCCAACCATGCTTTCCAAAAGCGAGGAACCTATTTTTGTAACCATTCTTGGTGGCGCGTGCTGAGTCCTGTTGGAATGTCCAAGGTCTGCGGCCAAAATGTTTGCGTGCCCAAGGCTTTATTCTTTTCGGCATTTATTCTGATGCCACGGTCGATTAATACGAGCGGAGAGCGACCATCAGCTGTTATGGCGGCCCACACCAATGACACACGAATGTTTTCTCATCGGAGAAAACCAAATTCGACAGTTCACCATTTTCGGCCAAACAAAGCAACTCTTTAGCTCTTTTGAGTCTATTTTCTTTCAGTTGCGCTGTAAGTTATTGCACTTTTTGAATTTCAATGGCTTTACCCCGAGCTTATTTTTCAATATTTGGAATATTGCGAAATGTTTAGCTCACGAGCCATTTTTCGG